GTAGATTAAATCTGTGATGGTTTTGTCAGCTCAAAACAGCAGGGGAACCAAAAACATTTTTGCAAAGGGTGAAAAACAGTAGGCTGTTTCAGAAAAGACAGGTTTCAAAAGCAAATGATGGGGATATTTATAAAAAAAGCAGCTGAGCTTTCCAAAATGCTATGGATAGAAGCAAATTAATCTATTTTTAAGAAGAAAAACATGATTGATCACATATGATTTTTTTTTAATTTGTGAATGTGCATAGCCGTGCAATTTTTTTCCCCTTTTTCTAAATAACTTCAGAACTTCTGAACATATACACTTTTTGGTGCCAGTCATCCTCTTTTTAAGAAACCTCCAATAAGTATTCACCTCAATTAATAATACTGGTGGGCTCACATTTCTTCCTATTACATCCATGTCATTGTACTGAAATGTTCATAGACTCTAGTATACGCTGTGTTAAACAGTACCCCTACAGTTTGTATTCAGTGTCATGTTTAGCTACAATAAAGATTAAGTAGGTGATCCATGGTGCTTTACATAATGCAGGGAGCAGGATAAAACTGACATAAAACACAGCACTCCCATAATTTCTAATTCATAATGTTAGAACATGACAGAAGCAAGTGATATTGCACACTGCAGTGATTAGAATATCACAACAGTGTGAGACTCCAGAGAATATTGGTTTTGGCCGCCTTGACTTAACTTCCTGAGGTCCTGGCCAGAAGATGGAGATCTCATTTTTAGCACTGGCTCAGAGGGTAGTCTATTCTAAGCCCTTGGGCTCCCTGACTCCTCGTAATATGAATCCCTTTGGGAGTTCTTGCAGGATGAGGGTTTTCCCTCTCACTATGCAGTGGACAGTTTCCTCCTAGGAGATCTAGCCAAATCTGTGATTCAATACAGCTATCTTTTCTCGCAACCAATTAATTTTAATTACAATATCCACCCACTAAACATGGAGGCTGGCTATTGGAAATGAAAATATTTTCTTATTGTCTTGGGTAAATTTGACTCTAATTGACAACTGGCTCTCTTTCTACACCCAAAGGAAGTATGGAGGAAGTCTAATAACATTCAGAACACGATGCGAAAATTACCCTAGCAAACACTTCACCACACAGACACTCCTGAATTACAAAGCAGCTCTGTGTGTTTGGAAATAAAAACAGATATTCAATTATGCTATTCTAAGATTCAAAAGCTGACCTACAGCACACTTCTCTAGTTCTGTCAGGTAACATGAGTTAGTACTACGCAGACTTGGCTGGAACAAACTGCAGAGGCTTAATAAGCCAAGAAGTTCCTCTGCAACATCACAGGAAGCTCAGCCTGCGGAGATTAAATGAGCAGGCCATGTGAGAAACAAGGTTATACATTTCATTTAGTCAGAGGCTCAGTCTGGGACTTGACCTTCTGCTTTCCCGTCGGCTCCCACTGCTGAAGCCGTTTCAAACAGGAAGCAGCCTGCGCTCTCCCTGCTGAGCCCAACACGGCACGCCTTTGCTTCAGAGGCACCGTCTCCCAGTCAGTGAATGATCTCTCGCTCGTCCTTGCAACCTCCACACTAGCAGAACCAGAAAGTGAGCTCCTGCGCTGTCCGCAGAAAAAAATATCAGGTCAAAAACACCTTAAAATCGAATTCTGTGTTTTGCCACAGATTTGCTACTCAGCATGACTGCACTGTCAGCCTGATTTACCACGACTGCTTAGAACATCTTAATACAGTAGCATCCTAACAGTCCAGTCATACTGGAGGGCAGCACTGTGTCAGTAGTTAGCATTTCTGGGTTCAGTTCCCTGGGTGCTGTCTGTGTGGAGTCTGTATGTTCTCCCCGTGTGCATGTGGGTCTCCTCCATGTGCTCTGATTTCCTCCCACAGTCCAAAGACATCCTGAAAGGTTAATTGACTGATGGGAAAATTGGCATTAGGTGTGTGTGTGTGTGTGTTAGTTTCCTTCTCCCCTGTGACTAGAAAATAGATGGATGATGTACTGGAAAAATTATATCAATTCAGTCCTGATTTATACTGTAGCTACTGTATATTGAATCAGGTCCATAATTTAAACCTGTAACTAACACTCAACTTTACCAGACCTAAAGAAAAGATTAATTGAATCAGCATAATCAAATAAATATTAGGATTCATTTCTCAAACATTTCCATGCTTCTGTTCACTTCGGTCGGAATCTCAGTGTCACAAAACTCTACAGTCAAATCCTATCCCCTTTCACAATCACGAGTGTGCTTCTGCCTTTCTGCATACCTGAAGAGGAAGAGAAATCACAGGGACGCAGGACAAGAAAATGAAGTGTGACCACGAGGGATCACGTGCATGGCCGCTGGCTCTTCCACGCTCACTGCACATTAGCATCAATTTTGCAGCCAGCACCTGCGACGTTAAGATCCGTAAGAAGAATGAAGTCTGTGTAGCTCTGAGTGAAAGGCATAAAAGTAACCTTTGACTGCCAATGGACTGATGAAAGTCTGCTTTTAAAAGCCACCTGCTACCCTTCAGATACTGTAAATGTTTTTAGTTGTTATTCCACAAGGAGGGTCTACACAAAGGACAGGACACCAACCAATCAAAGGCTGCAAACACAGGTAATTAAGAGGGGAGCATGCAAACTCCACACAGAAAGTGTCCCTGGAACCAACAGCTAAGAGACAGCAGTGACAGCTACTTTGCCACCATACTGCCCCTGAAGGGTTTAATATCTTTACAATTTTCAGTATTATTTGTTGAAGAACATAATCATAAACTTTGGACGTATTGTCATTTTAAAATATGATAATGGTGACAGTTCCCAGAACAATCTGCTATATCTAACCCAATGGCCCCCTCTTTTGGTTCCATAGAGAACACTTACTCCTGCAAGCATCTTAACCTAAAGACTACTCCTGATGTGGTATTGACTAAAAGCCACAATAAATATTTAAAATCTGGACATTTGCAAATTATCTAAAATGAATTAATTCTGGAAATGTTTTAGAAACACTCGGGCCTTCTGGGTGAGTGCATTAAACTGTAGAAATTCTTCACACTGGCGCAAATCTGGCAATAAACGTTCACTACAGATTTTTAAACTGTAAGCCAGAAGTTGTTTTAAGAGCAGAAGTCATGTTTAAAGATGAGCAGATTTTCTGCACTGGGATATACTAATGGGCAGCATAGTGGCCCATTGGGGTCCCGGGTTCAAGCTCCAGACCTGGGGTTCTGTCTGTGTGGAGTTAGTATGTTCCCCCCGCGTTTGTGCGGGTTTCTCGCTCTGGTTTCCTCCCACCGTTCAAAACCATACTGGAAGGGTAACTGGCTTCTGTGAGCGGGTGTGAACGTGATTGAGTGTTTGTGTCTGTGTGTGCCCTGTGAGAGACTGGCATCCCAGCCAGTGTGTATCCTGCCTTGCACCTGTTCCTAAGGTCCCCCAGAACCTGGTACTGGATAAAGTGTTTAGAAAATGGATGGATGGCTGTTCCAACACTGCAAATTAAGCTGATCAAATTTGCAACTGATAACATGTCTTGCTCCAGTGCAAAATCAGTTTCACCTCCACTACTTTCTCATAATCTCTAGCAGATACACAGTTCAGACACATAGTTCAGGCTCATCAGTGTGGCCTGAGCACTTGTTCTTTTGTGCAACTGGCTGATCCAGTCATTGCTAAGGATGAAGACATCAATGGGCACCCTGGGCACTGACTGCTGTAGGACAACATTTAAGGTTTTACACCACCAAAGATGCCGAACGCACCATCGATATGTATATATTACACAAAACTGTGCGTCTCAATCGATTGTAGGAATGCATGAGATATAGGACTCCACAGGCCACAGCCTACTGGCCAGTGTGGTGCCCTTGATCCTCAGGTGGAGTGACTGTTGGTGGTCACACAGTAAGAATTACAAGATTAAAAGATGACAAACAAGAGGAGGCCATTCAACCTACCCAATCCTAGTTAGTAGCTAATTGATCTGATGTAACTCCAAACAACTTTTCAGTGTGTGTCTCTCATCCAAGGAATAGAATCAGAAATACTGTATTTCCTAAGTATGTTACAGTACATATACTAGGAATCTGGTCTTGTGTCTTGGTGCAGAACCAATTCAATAATGCATGAACACTTCACAAAAGGAACATGCCCAGCTCAACAGTTATATAAACACTATAGCCCATATCGATGTGTTCTGGTTAAACACGGTCGGGCAGTTTTTGTTTTGATTGACCAGTAGCATCTCCCCAAAGCATATTTTTGAAACAGATGACATCCTGGCTCAGATGAGTCATCGACAATCTTTTCTGCTTGCTTCCTCGCTTCTTTAGTCTGAGTTTATACAGGTCTTCAATAGAAGACCAATTACTCTGCCTGTACTGCTGACAATGTGATGCAATTTGCCTCTGAAATGGACAGATGTGTTGCCCGTCTTATGCCCTGTGTTTCCGCAATAGCTGTGACAAGGGCACTTAAAGGCGTCAGTGTCCCTCTTACTTTCTCACTTACTATGAAGCAACAACTGCAAAAGCATGTGATGGAACACTTCGGATATCTAAAGGGAGTCGAGTGTGTTTCTTTGCACCTCGTTTTGGGTATGTTGTCTCACCATTTCATATGCTTACACAGGAATGGAAGCATTTTACACTTATGCCAAGCTAATGTTCAGAAACAATAAAAGGAAGCCCCATTTTAAAACAAGAAACATCTTTACTAGAAGTCTTTGACCAGTCTTTCAGTTTCTAAAAGCCATCAGAGTTTACTTCCCTATTCACTGGTTAACTGTATAGAAGCTGCTCACGACTAGCTGTGAGTGCTCTTTTTAAAGTAATTGCTCCTTCTCTGCAATGCTAGTAAGCTCATCTTTTTAAATTCATTTTTCTAAATAACTCATGAGCTAATGATCTTAGATCAGGGCCTGTTCTCTCATGGCTATTATCAGTGCGCTTTGTTTTAATCGGCAGCTTTATGAAGGGCTTCTCCATGACAACTGCACGGAGAAAAAGGAGACAAGCACTGTACCTGTGAAATGGTGCTGCTTAGTGGAGACCCGGTTGGCAGTCTGTACGGTGCAGCATAAGTGCAGCATGGCAAGCATTGTGCCAATCATCACCAGGCTTTGGAGCAGCAGAGTCATTTCAAACTGCTTCCCTATCCTAGGGAAAGAATCGGAATAAGAGTATCACAACACAACACCTGAAACTCCCAATAAAAAATGTGTTCCTAGATTTTGAATTTATATACACAGTATACCTCGACTGCTATGAACTTTGGGTGGGTTACAAGTCCACAAACAGGAGACAGAAACTCCTCCTTACCAGAAGAAGATTCTGAGAATGTTTGCCACCAGCAGCACAAGGCAGACGCGTGTGGAGAAGCCCTCAGTGTTGGAGATCCTCTGGATCTCCTGGTATTGAGGGATGTAGGGCACCACCCCTCCGAACACCATGAAGCACGATGCCAGCCACGACAGCAGAGACCAGGAACCTTCAGGGCCTGCCTCGATATCCACACCCAGATCCACTTCCGTGTCCATATCTCACAGTTTTCCGATCTCCCTGTTCAGATCAAAGAAGATGTCAGTTCCCTAAAGAGATTTATTGAACATGCACAGTGAGTGAGATCTGACGAATCTCATTTTACCAGTGAGATTTTTAACAGTAGAGAATTCTACGCTTTGTTCTTATGGACATGTTGCCATTATTCTCAAACATATTCAGTATACTGACAGTGACAGAGCACTTGTTGTACTTTGTTTTCAGGCAACACATTTGCTGAATCAGAAAGATGTCAGCATGGGGCACAGAACACTCACTTCTGCTTGTGGTAACTATTCACGTCAGAAATTTAAAAAAAAAACACTGTATGTACACTTTCTGAAGTCTTGAAAACAGCAGTCTGGCTTCCAAAAATGAGCTCTCTTCAGTATGCTGCTGTACTCTGAAAAAATATAGCTAACAAAAAGAGGGTGGTGGTGCAAAACTGGGTCGGGATTTTCTTTCTTCACGAGCACTTCTGTTAGAAGTCAAGGCTCAGGTTAAAAGCGTTGCAGTTGTAATTAGTAACAGTTATGGAGGCAACATAGATATGATTAAGTTAAATTCAGAGTAGACTATAGAAGCAGACCTGCAGCAATCTGAAATATACATATTCAAAGACTGAGGACATGTGTCAAAGTGAAACATTGTCCGTCCAGGTGTTTATTTTCCCTGCCGATGATACTGGTATTTTCAAGAAAGCATTTTCATTTTGATCAGAATATGAGACTGAATATACATATGAAAAAATACATATTGGGATATGAAACTGAACTCTATTAATTAAAAAGGAAAAAGGGAAAAAGAAGAAAAATATACGAAGCTTTTTAAAAAAATATGTTTTGGCAGTTCCAAAGAGGCAGCAGGCCACCTGAGCTTCGACCTCACCTCAGTCCAGGAGTTCAGAAGTTCTGTCTTCTGAACTTGCTGCAGTTCCACAAAACCTAATCTCCTGCGAGAATTCCTGAGAGGACGTGTTCTCAAATTTAATGAGACACATCTGCTCTAGGCCTTAATCCTGCTTTAAATGTCATTTACAAAAGCTATGCTCCGTATTAGACAGGCCTCAACAGGAATTACTTTAATGAAAACAGTGGTGGTATTTACAGTAGAAAGAAAAAGTGACTCTTTTGAAAACCACTTCATACACAGAGCATGTCGAATTTTACTAGAAAAGCTTTATTTTTAGGTGTTACTTTAGGTTGGTCTGTCAATGTATTACCTCAAACTGATAAATAGCCACATCTTATCTGTAGCCCTCATCTGCTACTCTATTTAAATATACACAAATAAATTCTAAAACAGTTTTTTGCATTATATTATTAGCATGATATGCAAAACACTATATTTTTGAAGGGGATGCATTTGAAATATATGCATTGTATTTAGCAAGCGAATGTTTTGATCATTTCAAAAAGAAAGATGGCTTACTTAAGAATTGTGAAACACGAGGCATTGAAACTGAAATACCGTACCAAATGGGTTACACCTCAAGTTCAAAAAGCTTAGTTTAAACGAAGAGGCCAGAAAACTGCTAAAATACCCTCTATTCATCATAATTTGTCAGATTAGTTGATTAAGTCTTCTTATAAAGGTGATTTCTTTCTATAGTGACATACTTGTTAGAATGCTCCATATCTCCATTCTGACAGTGAATTGTTTAAAAACCAAAGTATTGATTTCGTACAAAACTGGCCGTGATTTGAACATGGCATTTGATAGTTTTACTTTTCAGCAAAGCGTGAGTTTGACTGCATGATGAAAAAGGAAAATCATTAATTTAAGGAAATAATAATTTTTAAAAGCCTTGTATAACTGAACTGTGCTATCCTCCTCCACTCTGGTAAATAAAAAGCTTATTCAACAGCAGGTGCGTATTTCCAGATGTCCACAGTTGCTGATTACCAATAATTCTTTGGAATGCTCGGTGCTGTGCAGCTTTGCTCATTTCATTCAACTTTTTTACACAACACCCTGCGTACTACAGCGCCCACATAAATCACGCATTGCTCGTTGCAAAGGTGGGTGGTCACCGCCAGCATCAGTGGGCTTGTCCCACAGGGTGAACGAAACCGGATACACTTTCTCTAAATGGGTTCTTAGTAATGGATCTGCAGCTAAGATTAGAATCTCCCATGAACTCATACAGATACTGGGGATGACCTGCTTGGGACGCCGAGTTGCTTGCGAAACATTGCCTTAGTTGGCAACCATTAAAAATGTACAGTCATTCGACTCAAACGCACGAAAAGTACGTATCAACACTAACACAAAAACAAACTTGCAGTATACCGTTCACCGTTTAAGCGCACGCGTTTTACTTTTTATCTTTATGTGTTCTGTCTCTTTTAATGTAACTTCCTCTGCTTACGACCTGTAATTTTCCAGGTACCACCGGCTTTATTTTAAGTTTATTTAATCCTTTGCAGTTCTCCGTAGATTCTATGCCCGCAATACACTGTAGCTGGGCTGTAAAGTTTAAATTCAGTTTCAGGCTAACTGCTGTACGGAGCGCTTTGAGGAACTTCAAAGCTAGTGCCTGTAAACCCACAACATTTGAAAAACAAAGCACTTTTGTTTCAATTCGACAGTATTGTAATTTTAATAACGAAAATAATGTTATTTCAGATCGTGTAGTACTGTTTGCAGTGCTACTTTTTGCAGTGAAACGCGGGGATTTAGAAGAAACACTGCTTACCTTAGTGAGGCGAAGACTCGTTTGACAGCTGCCACAGCGATGCCAAGACACTTCCTGCGATATAAAGGAACATTAATATTACTTCAAGACTGTTATCATTCGTGTGTCATTTGCAACTCTCACTTAAATTTAGTTCTTTGAAAGTTTCTTAGTGGAGTTTGACTTTTATTAGGGCGTTAAAAAACAATAAATCAAATAACATTATAACTGCTAGAGACGAACCTAACATTGATTCGCCGATAGTTTAAAAATGCAATTGTTAAAGGGGGAGTTGTAAATTTTGAATATCCACGTTTAAAGAAAACAGTCAACGCTGTCGCTTCTCCTTAAAGTGATTTGTTATTTGTTCCTATTTAAATAGAAAATCATATTTACCTGTGCGGTGTTACAACCTAATAAAACATATCAGCCCATCAGTTGAGAACTCAAACCTGCGAGATACATGTTACAAGTGTAAAAACATTAAACTCAACGAAAATATCTACATGCAAATATCCGCAGATCTCGATGAAGAAGTGAATTTCCTGTGGGATTGGCGTGCTCACGTGGTTATCCTGAGAAAGACCTAAAACTCGTTTGCTTTACTCACAAGGTAAGAATTTGAGAACTGCATCATTGCATGCTGAATGTCTCGGTTTCATTTTCAGGAAAAGTAAGAGATACAATGGTACCACCCTTCCTGAAAAAAAAAATGTAACATTACACAAAAAGCCTGTTTGCAAAGATAATGGGAGAACTGTGACGTGTTTTTTTTTTGCTACACTTATAGCAAAAACCTTTACCAAACTGCTTTGAGCAACGCAATGAAACACTATTAAGTTGTTTACCTTGAGCTGTTGTAATCGTCTTTTTCTTCAAGATTCTGGTCAATGTGAATTACAGATGTTCCTGACTGATAAGTTTTTTTTTCTCACTCAAACTAAGCTTATCAATAACGGTAGAGGTTGTTGCAATAGCAAAAATCACAAGTGAAGTGAGGTACATTCTATAAACATTGTGGTCCCTGACTGAGTCAAAGATATCCTTGGGTTTTTGCACAAGTGTTTATTAAATCTTAAGACGACCAGCCTCTGGAACTACTTTATGCTTCACAATGAACAGGTAAAGGTTAATTCCACAATGAGATGTGGAAACAAGAAACATTTTTTTGTTTGTGAGTGAACTTGAACTAGAACTTTATTGCCATATGTAACCGGTACATTTACTGGTACAATGGAATTCTTAGTTACAGAAAGTCTCTTGATTATTAAAACAAGTGTAAAAACACAGTGCAGACAGTGCATCAAGACGATATACAAACAGTAGACAATGTACAAGTAAACAAGTAAACAGTTTGAATGTAAACAATACAGACGTGTAAACAATGACTGGAGATGTGCAATAATTAAGAAATTATAATGAGGTAGATGGTGTAGGTGTGGTCCGAGGGACATGGCCAAATGTGTTCGCCAATCGCTCTGCTTGTGGGTAGAAGTTATTGAAGAATCTGGTGGTCAGTGTCCGTATGCTCTTATATCTCTTGCCTGAGGGCAGTGGGGTGAAGAGCTCATGCCCGGGGTGGTGACTGTCCTCTGTGACGGCCAGAATTCTAAAATCGTTTTATTGTTTCTTCTTTCTGCTTTTCAGTCTGAAATGAACCTTTACATGTTCCATTGCAGATAATGCACGCTGACACAGCTTCCCAGTCAAGAATCGTATTTTAAATCTATATAGTACACGCTTGATTTCTTCATTTCCACTTTTGATTTTCAAGTGTTTGTCTCATTGTTGAGCTTGAAGTCTCCCATCAAACTGACTCTGACAATCTGACTTTTTACATACTTCACAAACTACTGTACATGTAGCACCCTCCTTGAAGAGATATCATTTATACAGCCAGCATATTAATTGTAACATTCTTCGTTATTCTTTTTTTAAATAAGATTACAAATAAGATCGTTAAAGAGCTCAAAGTAACAGTAATTTTCAGTCATCCTTACTTAGTTAAAATAAATTTCTACGTTTTGATTTGGTTCGAAATTAAAAATATTAAATTCATTTAACTCGTACAACTTTGAGGCTGTTAATGATTCTGTTTTTTCTTCTTTCCAGATACACAGTTTTAGATTTATAACGTTAACCAACTTGGTCATAAAAGTGTATTCTTTTTTTCCTGTTTCTACACTTTAATGTGTCCAGTATGTTCAGACGTTCTCTTCATCTTTTTACGAATTACCGACATGATCTATATGAGGACATTAGTAAGGAAAACATTTTTTTTTGTATTTTATATTGCATGTTTGCATGCACCCTTTGGTCAGATGGATTACAACAGAAAAATAAATACAGAACAAGTTAATGCACCCCTACGATACAAACGAAATATTTTTATTGAAAATGAAACTTGTGTGACATTTGTTTTCTAGATCTTAGACGAAACGCTAATTAATTAAACAAAATGTTATTCACCTCCGGGTTTTAAATAATGGACATCAAGAAGTCTTGAAAGAGATGGATAGATTGTGGGAGAAAAGATATGGAGGTATGTGAAGTGAGTGAGGAAGATGTGCTCGACAGAGACAAGTGGAGAAGAGCAACCAAAGCATCTGACCCCAGGACAGTCTGGGACTAAGGCTGTGAAAAAGAAGAAGAAGAAGAAGAAGAAGAAGAACTACAGATCCCATGAGCACTCTCAGTGAAATCGCGCACACTTGCTCTCGCGAGATCTCGCCCAAAGCCTCACGGTTTGTGTCTGGTTCACTCTGGTGCTAGTGGTGATCGCTCATATTCTGGAGGATTTTCAACACAGAAACAATATATCCAGGCGTGGAAGGTGTAAAACACCTTATCAGTGAACATGTCGGAAACGGATCCGAAGTCGGTACAGGACCTTACAGCTGTGGTAAGTGCGAAAAGGAAGCAGCTGTTTCTCCGAAGGGACGCGGGGCCTTGTTGATTGCTGCTGTGTATGTACTGTAAATCCCACTTTCATCGTTTGTGCAATTTTGAATTGGCAAGGGGAGCTCTAAAACCGTATCGTTCACTAGGCATCAAACACCTGGCATGTGGCATCTTCAAAACGAGATTAGGCGTGTTTAGATTAGGATTGAAACCGCGATAAACAGTGTGTATTTGATCAGTTTAATTGAGGACGTATGAGATGCTCGAGGTCAGTTATTTTCACCCCTGATGCCTGCCCTCCTGTCTTGCGAAATGGAGTAGGCAAGAAAATGGCTAAATGAACATCTGATTAAAATGTGACTTCTAGCAGTCCCTCGCGTGTGATTATATTAAACGGAAGTGCATTCGGGTTGCATTTTACTGCTGATACTGTAGTGCAGATCCGGCCCGGACGCCGCTATGTTTAAAACTGAAGTTTGGGCACTGTGTATAAATGAGTAAAACCCAGATTGCCGTTAAACGGAGGACGCCATCTGTGTTGTGTCGTAACCATGGTTTCTGCACCAGTTCATCCCCACCAGCAATTAGCGCCTGTTTTAATCGCTGCCGGCTCGGTGCGCCAGTACTCTGTTTACGAAGTCGATTGAAGCTCGCAGTTCACCTAAACAGGCACATTCGTGCTGTGATGAAAGTTCCCACATTTTAACATTTCATCAAGGAAAACGCACGAAGAGGAGACGGCAGTGATGCCCAGTCCTGGTCCTGGAGAAATATTATCTTCTGGGTTCCATGCCAGCTGAGCTCTACATCTCCCGTGCTGATCGATGACTTCACAAATTGGCTTGCTTGTTCAGGCTTCTGTTTAACTTCTTTGGTTATTCCAGAGTGTTAATAAAACCCAACGTCAGGAGTACAGTTTCCACAACTTTAGCCCACAGAACTAGACAAGACTCTTGCTAGTGAGCAGTTGGTGATGAACACACACACGGATGAGAACACAGACACGCCATCTCTTCTTTCTGCAGAGGTCGGTTGGTTACAGCTGTGTAGAAAACACCAGAATAAGGGCAATTCTGAAACTTGGGAATCAGTACAGGGTTGACGCTAGTTACACCAAATCTCAGTTACTTAGTCTGCGATTAGGATCTCAACTGAAGCGAAAGTCCAGAAGATAATTTTCCCCTCAGGACTAGGGTTAGGAACTCCTGGGATACAGCGTTCCAATGGCAGTTTTTGCTTGAGGTTCTATTATTAGTGTGCTCTTTTCACTATGAAGAACAGCCTCATTACGTTATCTCCTTCTTTTTTCTTCAGGTCCAGACATTGCTTCAGCAGATGCAGGACAAGTTCCAGACCATGTCAGACCAGATCATTGGAAGAAATATCCTGAATTCATTTTTGTGCCTTTTTTACTTATAGGAAGAACATGATTCTCTTACCAAAATAAAGCAAATTAATTACGTTAGAACAAGGCTTAGTTTGGGGGGACAAGCAGGGCACTCTCAGGACACTGGTAGCCTGGCCACACTGAGTATGTTTTTAACTACAGAGGGAGGTTCTCAGCTTCATTATTTTTCAGTCTTTAGGACTGAAATTAAGGGGCACTTCTTTATAGTTGTCAAAGTACTGAACATATTGCCCAGTGATATTCATGAGGTTTGCTCCCTAGTATCTTTAGATATTAATATAATCCTTGGATCGGTATTCTACTTTAAAGCAGAATTTGACAATCTGACCTCATTTGTAACCTTCATCATGTTTCATCATGTTTATATTTTAATTTTAAAATTATTCATTCTAAAGTGAGTCATTTTATTCAAATGTAGTATCTGATATCTTGCCATATACAGGTCTCAGAAGAGGGATGCTTTATCCTGTTGCTCATACCTTGGGTCCCTACAAGTCTAACCTAGAATGGACAGTTTTGGATAAAGACTTATATTCCCATAAGTAATCAACTGCTTTAGTTTAAGTTAACATGGGGGAAAATCTGGTTGCTGTTACAGTCATCAGTAGCAGGCTTTCCATAAAAAGGAAATGGTAGATCTTTATCACGGTACAGATCTTCTTATCCTTTGCTTTAGGTCAGCATACATTATCATTCAGTTTCATATGAAGATCATCAATGACATTTTCAGGTTAATGATGAAAATGTGGCAAAAAGTAGAAAAACATAACCTCTTCTCGTCTTATAGTTGGATCATTTAGTGATGCAAGCCCACTGATGTAATATCTGAGGAACACGATCATTTAAAGAGGTGTGTCTGTGATGATTAATAATGAGGCAGATTTTGCTTTAATAAAGCCGCACCTCATTTTTACTTTGCGCCAATGTGCTTACCTGCTGACAGTAGGAAACTGGGCAGTGCCCAGTGCTCTGTGCTGGGAGTGGCTGCCAGCTCTGGTGAACTCTTTGAAAAACGAAGCCTTTCCTTGACCTGAGCACTTGACGAAATGAGCACTCGCATTGATGACCTGGAGAGGAACATCGCAGACCTGATGACCCAGGCGGGTGTGGAGGAGATCGAAGGGGAGAATAAGGTCAGCCAGGACGCGGACTCGCAGTCAGCCAAAAAGGTAACGACTTTTAATGGAGAGTAGGCATCGACAAAACCCACCTTCCTCAAGGAAATCAGAAACAGCACAGCCATTTACTAGATGCCTTGCAGGGGGACTGGGGATGAAACCAGTTCTGCTGTCGTTTACAATAGGAGCTCAACTGTATTTAAAATAGAGGACGGGGTACAAAGATCACATAAGGTTAGAATTAAAGCCATCTTTCCTATTTGCTTTGGTTTTCATCTTTTTCAGCTTTGTTTCACTTTTCAGCTTAAGTAAACATTTCAAAGAAGTTTTCAGCAAAAGTCAATTAATAGGAGCTGGATTAAGGTTGTTTGCTTGGTTAAACTGTTATAATAGAGGAAGATGTACTGTTTTAAAGTGAAAGTGGAGATGGCAGAAAGTGTGCCTGACAAAAACCCGGTCTGAATTCTAAAGATGTCATGTTGAAGTCCTCTTACTTACGTCAGCTGAGACTGGACTTCCTCTAATGGTGGCACGCAGTCAAATCCGTCACGTGACAAACTGCAGGGGTGTCCAGTATGTCAGAGGAGTGTCTGTGCACCTTCTGTTCTTTCCATGGAGTTCAGAAAGTTCTACTTTCCTAAAACAAGTTGTGTACGGTGTGCAGGGGCGACTGGGAAGATGTTACAGTGAGAAACTCATTTAACTGTTCTCAGTTTGACTTCAATGTCCAAATACAACAGCTCTGGGATTTACTGTTCAATGAAAATGTTTAAGCATTAGCATTTGTGAAAGTAAGTGAGTTACTGGAGAAGTAATTGGAGAAAAATGTACACAAGAGAATAGCAGTGATATTTCAGACCTCTTGGTGAATAATGTTGAAGACTTTGTATAGGCAGAGTAGTTTTTATACATTTTTTTAACACTTTTATTTATAAATTAAAGACATGAATGTGTGCCTGTTGCTGGCTGGGACAGGCTCCGGTCCCTTGCGACCCTGTACTGGATAAAGTGGTTCGACAATGGATGGATTGATAGAAGTGAATGTGTAACAGGCTTAAGTACATACAAGCTGACTTTAAACCTCTCTGTCTTTTTCAGGTTGCCAAATAACACTAAGTACTGAACTCTTTCTACGAGAAGAACAGATTTTTTTCAGAGTGGTTTATGATTTTTTAATTTCAACTTGGTGTGTAAAGCATTTTTTTTTTTATATTGACTTCTAATAATGGTTGCATTCCTGACATACTGACTGGACATTAAGATTTTTTTTTCTAATGTGGATATTTTACAGAACTTTTCAAAACCTATAATAGAAGTCCCTTAACTTATTCAAACCTGAAGCCAGTAATGTTAACAGCACTACCTGTTTACCAAGTCGAGGAGATCCGAGTTTGTTCCATTTCATTCGATTAAAGAGTTTTCTTACAAAATGTTTCTTTTGTTTTGTTAAAAGTGGTGTGACAAAATCTAAGCTTTGGGTTACAAAGCAGCACTTGCTAGTCTGCTTTTTGCCATTGCTTTTGCCATTTTTTGCAATTAATTGATTCTTAATTCAGAATCAATATCTGTGGAGGAATATGGGTTTCCTACGAAACACAAATCAAACTGAAGAGGCGTTGTGTGATAGTGTATGGCTTTACAGTATATCACCTCATTAATGTTATACATGCACAAGATAGGGTTTTGCAAGTAATGGTAAATTTGAGTGTTCAGTCTCAGTCCACTTCGGTTTGCTCTGTCCCAGTAAAATAAAGGTACTGAATCAAAAGCTTTGTAAAATTGATTTGAATTAGATCATATAGTCTTTAACCCTTGTATCTCCTTCTTATGCAGTTTGTTTTGAGCTAGCCAGGTTTCCCTATTTTCCACATTAGATGCCTACAAATCAGAATAAAGGGCACATTTTTGTACCAGCTCAGGAAAGGTTGCTGTAGGTTTTTTTTGTCCTGAAACTGCTAAAGTGATTGTTCATTATCAGACAGGTCACAATCGTAACATACTCATCTCTTCGCTGTAGAATGAAGTTGTCTAAAGAAACGACCAGGACTGTTGGCAAACAGGACCTAGAAGGGAATCCTTAACCTTTGTAATTCCAATGCAATACTGCATCAAGTCAGCCACCTGAAAGACACATTTAAATTTATTTTAATATATCATTTTAGTACCTTTTAAGTTTACAGCTTACATTTTTCTACGTGATGATTACTTTGTGGTTTGAAGACTTGCATAACACTGTAGCCACTACCTTTTTTTTGCAGTTGACATTTATACTGCTATAGATTCTGTGGACAATTACAAATATCAGGGATTATTTGCCATAACATTTTTTTACAATCCTTTGTACATTTTTGGCTTGGTCACAAATTCTAAATGAGCTTCAGCTGGGGCATGCAAGCATAGTAAAGTGGACAAAAAAAAAAATGTTTTTTTATGTAATGAAGCAACAACTGTTAACCTATGTCACAGTTAATAAAGATTAATGTACTGTTGGGTATTTCATGCCTCCTGGTGTTATATTTATTACTCAGAAAGCTACAAGTAAAGGGACCTGTCTGCCAGATTGGAAGAGTCAGACAGCTGGAATACATCTGTCCAGTGAACAGTATGTGAAGCACTGTGTTCCTCAAGACTCCACTCTACCAAGCAAGTACCTCATGTTCAATGAAGCGGTCACATAGCGATCAGATTCCATCTCGCACAGCAGTTCCATGACAGCAAGTGTAACACCCCTACACTTTCTGAGAAATGCCTTGGGATTTTTAATGACCACAGAGTCAGGACCTCAGTTTTACATTTCATCTGAAGGACGGCACCTTTTTTTTTTTATTACAGTACAGTATCCCCGTCACTATAGTGGGGGCATTAGGACCCACATAGACTGTAGGATAAGCACCCCCTACTGGCCCCACTAGCATCTCTTCCGGCAGCAACCTTAGTTTTTCCCAGGTGGTCTCCCATCCAGGTACTGACCAGGCTCACACCTGCTGAACTTCAGTGGGGCTGCCAGTTGTGAGTTGCAAGGTGATATGGCTGCTGGCTATAATCTTCACACAATCCTCCAAAATCACATGAATATTCTGCTAAATGTAGGTAGTGATTTTGGACTGCTAACATTTAATACAAGTGAATGATTTGGGAGATTTATTTTAACCCGTATTTGGAACATCATTCCTCAGCACTGTGTACAGCACAAGCCACAGCTCTGCCCTACAAGTCTTTGCTCATCACACACTTCAGTAATTTTTAATACAAACCCAAGTATTATAAATGTGAGTTCAATTAAAAAAAAAAACTAAACCATTGGACATTATTGCGGTCTTTCACATGTAATATTTCATATGAAACAGGAGATGGTTCAAATAAAATTTTCCATTTACTACTTGGCTGATTTCTTTTTAGCTTCTTAATTACAGAATAACACGACGGCCACCCAGACATTTTCTGGGGGAGGGGGGAGGGATGGAAAACGCCTGCGCTCAAGCGATACGTTTTCCTCTCTCTGCCTGGGGTGGGGGTGGGGGGGTTTAGCAAATTCATCAGAAGCCAAAAGACCTTGTATGGACCTGCCCAATAAAAACTGAATGAAAAGAATTACGTGTGCCTGCTTGGGCAAACGTGGAGTTGTAAAATTGTGACTGAGCACTGTTATTTTGCCGTCAATCACGCATCTCAATTAAGGTAAAAGTGTGAAAAACACAGCAGGATAACCAGCAAAAACTAAAATCTACACGCAGAACAAGTTACTTTAGGAACGGATTTGGGTGTACTGTGACACTGTTTCAAGGCATTTTGACTCTAGTCCTCACGGAAGCATGACTTTGGCTTTGTGTCTTCGTTTAATGGTTTTTACCCCCTGTAAATTCTAAATTTGCTCCAAAACAACTGAATTAAGCTGGTTACGTCTTACAGGTAAATGATAGAAAACCTAAAAGATGCATTTGCTGTAAAACTTCTTTTAAGAGCAACAGTTAACCCAAAAAAGGATTGCCTGATAGATCTTCTCACTATGATGTCATTGAAAAAAATTCACATTTCAAGGCAACTTCCTCTCATCACTTACACCACCAGCTGCAGACCTGCTCATTAATTTTGCGCTGTGCCAGGAGATAAGACTAAAGATGTTAGAATTAAAAATGGAGATGGCACTGATAATTAAGCCTTTAATTTTAATGAACCAATTACTCATTAAAATCTGTGACCTCTTGCTGCTCAGTCTGTTTCAAGTTTGTTTTACATTGCTTTTTTTTACCTTTTAATCTTCCTCAGAGTGACTTAATACTCTAAAAGGCCTGAGGAAGATGAATAATTGAACCAAAGTTTCCCCAAGTATCACTACAGAAAACAGAAAGGAAAACTTCACAACTGTTAAAAATAATTTACAATTAAGTTGGAAGAAAAGTGATAATGATATACATTTATGATTACAGCAACAAATATGAACTTGTGCATTTCTGACACTTCAGTTAAATTGTTCAAATAATGTAGGTACAGACTGTTTTGTACAGTCGCTGACTTTATTAGATAGGACTATGCTGCACTTTAGCAGGTTATTAAACTCCCTGCATTATATATTCTGCACATTATGTAATACCACAGCTGCACATGCTGAATTCGAAATCTTATTAATTTTGTAAAACATTTTTCAAAACTCTTGCTCTCCATCAATACTACAATTAGACTTCTTTGATTTCTATAATTTAAGGCCGGTTTACATTTCTCCCTCTGGTTTAATTAAATGCAGCAGCCAGCTTTTGTCTGACAAGACAAAGAAATTGTCAAGAAATTGAACAGTGCCTCAAATGCTTTGCTCATATCAGAAACTAGAAGGGTGTCTTTATGGGTTGAATAGGTGAAACTGGAATTCTCTTACTTGACTGAAGGATATAGTATAGAACTATCCCATTTAGACTGCATTGAAAGTTTAGGTGCAACAATTATATGATTTCAAGAAAATCTGGGAGACAAATATGCACCAAAACTTACTAATTCTGGGTTATCTATAAAATGTTTGGGTTTATGAGTTGTAATTTTTTAACTTTACTGCAACCCATAACTGTTAGCTTTACCTATATTTCAGCACATGACATCTACATGGTGAATTTAGTAGATTACTGAATCACACAGTAAGGGAAATTAGTTCTAGTTACAATTTCCTTTTAGCCTATATGAGAACAATCAGGACAAATTAATTTACAGTATGCGTTTTACAACATAGGAATTGAGAGATGTATTCAGACCGATCAAGTAAAAGCAGATCTACAAATCACTCACTTCCAGAAGCATCGTAGTATTATGGATCACCAAATTTCACAAATAACTCAAATGATTTAAAAAGTATAGTCAAATACCAACACGGAGTGTATAAAACAAATGTTTATTGATTTTTTAAAAGAAAACATTAGAAATAGTTAATAAAACAGGACTTGCATAAGATGAAAATTTCATACTCTAAAAATACAATAAAATTGACAATAGCAGTAAATCTTCTCCACTGAAGAAATAAAAGGGCAATCATGTTTTTAAAAATCGAAAGCTTTTGATATTATTCCTATAGTTTAACATTTTATTTCTGAGGACAAAGAGAGGAACCTAAAGCCACCCATAAGCCTAGTTCAGAACACAAAGTCTGATTCTGTCATGTCAATGGCCCAGGCAAACTTGTCCCGCTGAGTTTTGTTGTAGATTTTTTCTAAGGACACCTCCATTTTCCGACACCTGAAAGAAACCAGAGAAAGGGGTATCCGATGTAAGTCTCCAAAACCACTGCTTTCAGAGACTTATTTTCTTCTCGCAACAACCACGGACAAACTGTTACACCACTAGAACGCAAGATTTTTCCTCAAGCCATCGCACCAGATTCCGAAGGATAAAAACCTCCTCAGGACCTGCCGGTTTTCATTCTTGACCAGCACGCGCTGTGAAGTACACGGCACCTTTGTCAGAAGACCATACTATCACAGCTGTCTGAGGCATTTCCAAGCACCAACCCCACTATGCCAAAAGACCAAGCCTCCTGCCTCTCTAGACAGCCCTGCAGAGTGACATCACTGCAACACTGTCTTACTCCCTGACTGCTGC